GTTTTTCCATGTGTTTGATATTAGCCCCTTGTATTATTTCCTGCTTTCCAGCTTTTTAATTTTTTTTTAATTTTTACTCTTAAAAACATAAAAGTGTCAAGAGTTAGGACTAGAATGAATCTGAGATTATTCTAGTCCAACCTTCCTATGTGATTAATTTAACCAAGAATATTACCAAGAAAATTCCTTGCTTGCCTATGGATCTTTGCACAAACCTCAAACTAGTTGTCTGATGAGAAATATAGAAAATGATGAAGTGTTTCATCACTTCATAAGAGTCTGCCTCAGGAAAAAAAAGAACCTTTGTCTGTAGCATTGAAGCTAAAGAAAAATTGAAGCCATAAACAAAATGTTCATATTAAGTGTAGCTGAGTTTCAGCTTTTGCTATTCCAGTTATTTTAAATGACTTCCCACTATTTAAAGGTAGCCTATTAAAAAAATTCACATGATTTTATAGAGAAGATATATTTTAGGCAAACAATATTAAATCACTTACGTAGAGACTATCTTTTTCTTGTTTCAAAAAATAACTGCAATTTCTACAGTGGTCATGAATCTAGTGCTGGACATAAAGCTTAAGGAAGCATTGAGGAATTTGTGGCACTAAAGGTTCATTCACAGACTTTGCTTGTCTGTGTTGAAAAGAGGCTTCAGCCATTTCCTCTGGGGACATTATTTCTAGGGAAGCCCTAACAGAGTTTTCTTGTGAAGGCAGATTCTTAACTGAAAAATGGAAGCTGTGTACATTAGGTAGCAGAGACACATTTATCTTTGACATGGCATGCTCCTGTTTGTGGCTTTCTTGGCGGCATTTGATAAAGTAATAATGTCCCTTCCTTTTGAGTTTTGTAATTCCTTGAGACACATTTTCCCTCCAGAGCTATTTTACCTTCCTTTTTGGACTGAATACCCAACTTGGTAAGAGGACAGGGAGACTCCAGTGTTCTAAAAAATATAAAAGTCTGGAAGGATGATAAATATTTTTCTTCCTCTGTTGGCGATTTACTTGTACGGACTGAAGCATGTCTGACTTGTATTGTTTTTCTGAGTAGTAATGAGAGAATTTTGTTTTCTGGGAAATACTGGTTGCTGGTAACTAATTTGTCCAGACTGTAGGAGGCTGCCACATAATTTATCATAAGTCATGACAGGTTCAGGCTGTGAGGCTGAGATACTAAAATCATACATCACTCTCATTTTGTATATGAGAGGTGAAGTGACTTCACAAGACAGTTATCAAGGGCTGAGAATGAGAGGCTAGATTCATCTGGCACATCGTTGCTGCCTCTGGCTCAACAGAAACAACTGCCATGTGAGAGTCAGACACTGAAAACCCAGCTAAGCTGAGCTCCCCAACCTTAACCTCAGCCTTAACCTCAAACACAATTCAGATCTATTCCAAAGCTTGATGTGTCTCTTCTCACAGACCAGCACTAATCATACTAATTGGACTCCACATTACTAGAATGTAAAAGGTCCCTCATCTGCTCCTCAAAGGCCATGTCTGCCTTCCTTAATGTGTACAGAGCACAGCATAAGTGGGCCCTTCATAAATGCTTTTTGATGAGAGCAATGATTGCCTTAGTCAGTGTGGTCGGGCCCTCCCTTACGGAGGAGGAAAACCAATGGCTGTTGCTAAGCAACATTTAAAGGACTGGGTCGGTTTCTGACACTGAGTGACCGCTATTTGCGTACTTCATTATGTGTGTTTTACAGTTGCCTTAAAATGACTTTGTTTTTTTGGTGGCATTTCAGTGCCTCCAGCAAAAGGTTCATAGAACTATTTTAGGCATGAGAAGGAGGGAGGAGATATCCATCTGTTAACTAGGTGCATGAGTACTGGCCCCTTGTGTAAGCTATGCAGGAACGGTGAGGAGTTTGGTTTGTTCTCAACCCTGTAACTGAAAGCTACTCCCTGCTCCCACACTGGGACAGATTAACAATATATGCCAATAGGGTTCTGTGACAATGGGAGGTGACAGAAAGAAAGTAAGGAGAAAAGTCTTTCCTTTTCTAGTCTTTTATGATTGAATTGCTACCTGCTCCTATATTCTGAGCTCAGGGGCCAATATAATTAATTTAGAACTTGCCCAACTCTCTCCAGACTCTTAACTGTTGTGGTTAATTATATGCTCTTATACATATGACTATTTCTGCTGGGGTGTAAGTTGATGAAAAGCATGAAAACATTTTTATTTTTCACTGCTTATGTCTTCAATGTTTTGCCTGGCACATTTTAGGAGTTTAATAAATATTTAGCAAATACATAATAAAATGATATGATTAAAAGAATGCCAATCTGATTGACTTCAAAATCTTTCTAATATTTCAGAGAAATCAAAGGAGTCAAAATGAGGGTGATTATGTGAATGTCACATTTGGCTAAGTTTAGAGCACAGACTTGCTTAAAAGAAATCATCTGTCTCTATCCTTTTCACAAGATATTTTTACAGTGTTCCAAGTAAAGTGTGCTTCTCTGTCCAAATTCAGCTGATCAATTAGAGCATAGATACCTTTATTTTCCAGCTTTTAAGTCTTCAGTGTAAGTGCCTGTCTTTTGAGAACTGAAAATGAGATGTCATTAAGACTGAACAGTTATATCTTAAAAACCAAATAACTTGGAACTTCTGCAATTCACCTTGAATTCAAAATGGCATAAGTGTTCATTAAGTAAAACAGAGTAGCTGAGGTGACTGATTCAGAGATCCCTAGTTACTGCTACTAACATAGTGTATCATGGGAAAACACACATATGCCAGCAGGGTTACCCAGGAAAGGACTATGCCTCTTTGAGAACAAATGCATTTTGCGTAGTGCAGCGAGCGCGCGGGCGGCAATCCGGACTTGCACTGGCTTCACCTCAAAAGGCCTGGTCTCCTGGGCACAGGCAGTGGCATGTCGGGGGCTTACATGCTCCAAGTGAAGCCATTGTCAGTGCAGGGTGCCCATTTGAAAGGGGAATGCCTTACAGGAAAGACAGCCAATTGCGTGCCTGTATATTCCGGGGTGGGGCGGGGGTGGGGGAGACTGTTGCCATGGTGCTTTGCTACTCCTTTAACGTGCTGTACTTGGATTCCTGGGCATCCAGAGTGGGGCGACAGAGAGGAGGAAGAACACAGGCGGGGAGAGGGATGGCCCTGGGTAGGGACTCCTGCTGCAGTAGGACCCCAGTCTTTGACTGTCCTTTTGCCTGTTCTCTAACACTAACACTGAGGGAAGGGTGGGGAAGTGTGCCTACAGAAAAGGAATGACTCAGCGTGCCCTAGTTTACTAAAATGAAGTGAAAATAAATTTTACTCAAATATTTCTAACATGAAGTAGAAGACATAACGCTAAAATATCAAAAGGCATAGTAATTCATAACCCCAAATAATTTGCCATTCATGCAGCAAACAATATCTTGTATTTCTGAACTGCCTCTAGATCCTAGATCAAAAAGCTTAATGTGTTTAATTTGTTGAATGCCATCTAATATGCATATTAATGAGCTGATGGAATGCAGAACATTGCCTTCTGAATATGAGGTACTTTTAAAATGAAATAAGTCTTTCCCATTCATGTCCTTGTAAAAGAAGGCTAAATCCATTGGCACACTGTTGGTAAGCAAAAAAATTCTCCAAAACTAGTTTTTAAAAAATGTTTTTGTGTACTGAAAACCTTGTCTGAGAACAGCCACAGTCTTAATCTTTTATTATTTTTTTAATGTTCAGAAAGTAGAGTAATCAAACGCATCATCACTTTGAAACCCTCAGAGTGTCTGAGCTCTGTGTGGAGGCTGTGTCTGCAGAGCGTTGGTCTCTGCAGAGGAGAGAGGGTTAAGAACACCTACTTGAAATGGGGGAGGGTACTGACTTCAGATTTACTGAAATATTCATGGGGCTCCCTCCATTTTAATCTTCTCCTTTTTAAAAAATGGCTGTGTTTCCCAGCCAGGCAAACCCTCAGGAAAGAAGAATTGCTCCTTCCCTGCAGAGTTCAGCTGAGCAGGGCTAAGATAAGGTGGAAACCCCTTCGGCCACTAGGACTATTTATTCATAATTCCTAAGTGCTGCACACCAGCCAGCTGAATGCATTTGGACAAGCTCTTGTTCTTTCTGCAATTCCTGATTTCATTGCTCTCTCTGCCAGAAAAGAAGCAGGAAGCACAGGCTTCTTGCAAGAATGGAGTGCGAAGATGGGCTTTGTTTGATGCCTTCAGTTTTGGAGGCTTTGCTTTTATAAGTTTTGATTATTTTACCACTGAATGTGCAAGGCTTTCCTGATCCTCTCAGGACTGCTCTCTCAGAACTGTGAATTCTTCTAAAGGGATCTGTGGATTGTGGCAAGGAAAGCATTCCAAAATGCCTGAGGCAAACTATTTGTTATCTGTATCTTGGGGTTACATCAAGGTGGGTTCATTTGATTCTATTATGTGTCTTTGATAGAATTTGAAACATTTGTATTTGTATGTTTTCTGTGAAGTAGAAAACATCTGTAATGATTTAATCTGTATTGTCACTTAGCCCAAGGAGACTGCTTATTATGAAATAAGGCATGTTATATTACATTGTAAAATAGGCTGTGCTCGCTCTTAATTTTATTCTTTTTATGCAACTCTATTTTTAGAGGATGCTCCCCCCCCTTTGTTTTCCCTTAAACTTTTCACATATAACCCCCTCTCGCTGTATAGGTTATTAACTTAAATTATATTTTAGAGTTAATTTCCAATAAATGTATTTTAAGATGGTCATACATTTTCAAGTAAAATCATTTTGTTGTCTATTAAGATTCTCTTTCCTGTTTGCGTCTTCAAAACCAATCAAATGTTAATTCTAAGAAATCTTAAGAAAACCTCTTTTTCTTAAGGTGCTGTTACATTTTGTTCCATAGAAAATTATCATTTATCAAATGGTATCCGCTCATCCAACCTCTTGGTTCTTAGATAGCAAAGCTGTAAACATGTAAAGTGATAATTTGTTATTTTTTAGGTGGTTAATACTTTTTTGTTCTTCATACACAGTTCAAAAGGATGCTGAACCGGGAGCTGACACACCTCTCAGAAATGAGCCGATCAGGGAACCAGGTGTCTGAATACATTTCAAACACTTTCTTAGGTAAGATACTAAGTGGAAAAGCTCTTTCATAACTGAGATTTTTCATTATTAATCTTTGCAAACCATCAGGAATATCCTTATGTGACTTTTAAATGAGGTAAAGTCATAGAAAAATAAATCTATTTAAAATAAGAACTAAGGCAGCCTTTCAGGGGAACAAAGTGAGCAGGAAGATGTTGTTAAAAAAAAAAGAATAAAGAAAAAGAATAAAAATAGCCATCAAAGACAGAGGTTATAATGGACTAAGTGTATTTTTATGGACCTCAGATCACCCCTTATCCCCCCACCCACTGCCATCTCTGCCAAGATCTATGAAGAGGTTGGGGGGAGGATGGGGTGCGGGTTCAATCACTTAAACTCTCCGTATGTTCTGTAGTCACCTTGCTGGTACCTAACACTTGACAAGAAAAGGTTTGCATGGATAATTCCTTAACTACTTATGGCATCCTGTTTGATTGCTAGGGATTTCTGATCCCATGTGTAAAGCCATCCTATTGTATCATGAACTTATTTTGAACATATGCTTCTTTACTGAGGCCTGTAGAATCTGTAAATCTGTCCTTCAAAGTGAATGGGTAGCATTTGGATTCTGATTCTGTGGACTTTCAATTACCCCTGAATTATGCTTGTTTCCAGAACTCCACTTTCCAGGGAAATGACCTTCTCATAGCTGATCACCTCCCTTCTTTTTGGCATAGCTACACATCATTAAATCAATGAGCATTTGCCTTGATGCTTTGTGGAAACACATACCTCTTCTGCTTTTCATCTGAAAATCAATCCTATTTGTCTAACACCAAAGCAGTTCCTGCCATCAGCAGATCAATCTTAGACCAGCTTTGTGCAAAGCTCAGGGGATTACTCTGCGCCTGATGGGTACCTGCCGATTAACAAGTGCCTTTCCAGCTGTTTGCAGTGTGTGGGTGGGTGTCCGCAGCACCTGGTCTTCTCCAGCTGCAGTTGTGTCAGACCTTTGTCAAAGAACAAAGGAGGAGAATTTTTCAGACAACTGAGCTCCAAGAGGTGGTTAGAATCTAATGGCCCAGAAAGCATTCTACATTGATCCTTTTATTCTCTATTATTCCCCTTTTATTCCTTTGAAGCCAGGCATCTTTCCCTGTCCATTTCAGATGTAGTCCATTCTGTGCAACACCCAATTATTTTTCATAAGCTGGGGGCTGTTTTAGGAACATTTTACAGATTAATGACTGTGGGAGAGAAGAAGGAAATCAATAAGTGCCACAATTCATTTTTGTTTTCATAAACATGCCAGGGCTCTTCTCAGAAGACATGCTCATGATGAGAGTAAAGCTGCATGAAGTCCCTGAGCCTTTAACAATTGAAGACTGCACCTAAGCATTCCTCTTCACTGTCATTTCTTTCACTGCCAACTTGCCAAGGACAACCAGCATATTTTAGAATGCTTAATTAATGTCTTTTTGTCATCAAAGGCTATCAAGCGAGAAAGCTGATAAGATAATAAAGATGAGTCTTCAATCTCAATTCTTTGTATCCCAAGAACAGGCAAATGTCAACTCTCTTTCGATCATTCCATTTGCTATTTAGGCACATCTCTTGAGGAAAACCAGTCATTTGGCTTTTTATTATTCCAAAAATTAAATTATCAAGAACACATTGTTGAGAAAGGTTGTGAGGATCTCAGCCCTTACAGGTTCAGCAAGAGGAGTGTGATGTGTGTGAGTTTGTACACGTGTGTGCTTGCACAAGGGAGACCCGATCATATAGACTAGCCAGGTTAAAATGCTGAATCTTCTTAGAGAAATATAGGAAGGAATAAACCTCATCATATAAACATAAGATGCACCAGTTTCCTTATCTGTAAAATGGGAGCATTGAGAGAGATGACAGCCAAGTCCTTCCAACTCTAACATCCTCTGACTCTGACATAGATGGATTTTATGAGTCTTGCTAAACGTAGCTGGCAACCTGAATTCTCTGTAATAGACTACAGACAATCTTAGAAAGCAAGCAAGCAAGCAAACTCATTAAGCTTGTTACCAAACTGCAAATGCAGGACATGGAATCTTAGTCTTACGTACAATGAAAAAAGTCCAAGAGGACCATGAATGAAGCCTTCTTCATAAACTGTCTGCAAAGGACTTTAATGACCTCATAATCCAGTTCCCTCATTTTAGGAGAAAAAAAGCAACAACAACAACAACTGAGGCCTAAAAGGGCAAAGTAGTGTGACCAAGATTACTTGGCTAATATGTCCCTGATTCAGCACTAAGACTTGGCTCTCTTGACTCCTACACCTAAATATCCTGTCCCCTTTTCACCTGGGAAAGATGCCTGTTAAGAACTCAGAACATATAGGAGAAAAATCACATTTAAGCGTATTTAAGGAATATTCATATTCTTTTGGAGAAAAGTCTTTAGGAATCAGGATTATTGAACCTAAAAATAAAATGTTTATTAACAGGTTCCAGTAATCCTGTTAATGAAAGGTCTTGCTAGAGCATGGCAGCCAACTCAGTGAGCATAGAAGTAGGAGGGAGGCCCTAGCAATTTCAGTTAAACCTGAAGACTGATATCTCACTAAGGTCATCAAATGTTAAAATGCATCATCAGAGGGAGGGAATCCCTTACTCCAGGGATTTGTGAAACTGTATTACATTTCCATCAAAAGGATGGTGTCCAGATAATCCAAAAGGCAGGCAAGAGACCATTTACCACTGCAGGTGCTTCTAGGTGCCATTCTATGAAAACGGGATCCACGTTGCTGCTATAGAAGTAAAGCAGGACCTACAGAGAGGGAGCATAGATAAAGCAAGATACTTACATGCGGTATTAGAATGTAGTTAATATTGTTATAAACAGAAAAACTAGCCTTTTTAATCCCCTACTTACTTTCTCAAAACTAAATCAGAATTTTCAAGATGCAAGGAAAATAATTTAGAAACTTTGCCTGATCAGATGCTGGGATCTAGCAAGAAAATCATCTCAAGTTATGCCAATAGCAGAATTTTGACATGACCACTTTTTTTTTTTTTTGCATCTGTTTTTCTGTCCATTTGTTTTATATGGGTCCACTGTTTCCCTGCTGTAATCTGACCATTCTGTAAATGTAAATTCACTAAATGTTTATCATGATTCTTTGAGTTTGTGTTTCAGGTTATTTTCACATTTTGCTGGCTAAGGATTTAACAGAGGAAATTCAGAATAGGGAAAAGCATTTAACAGAGGAAATTCAGAAGGGGGAAATCTATCAGTTGTTCCAATGCCTGCATAGGGAAACACCCATTAATGTCAAACTGGCACTGTGTGAATAGTGGCTTTCTTCTTTATTGTAATGTTCCAGACATAGACACAGTAGTGGTTCAGCCCAATTACTCGCTGCTGCAGGGGATCTTTAATTAAACAAAGGGAAAAGCTGCTAGTCCCACTAGAGGTACTTGTATCAGTGGGGGCACAGGAGGATCCAACAGCCTGTTTAACCAGACGTAGAGAACAGTGAAGCACAGTGGTTGGGAAAAGCATGGGCTATTGTGACCTTTCATTTTAGCAGAAGTAGTAATTATTAGGAGTGGAGTGACATGGAGAAAAGTAATTTCAAAAATAATATAATATATCATTTTTAATGCCAGAGATTGTGAGACCAGAAAGAGATTTTTTACAGGAACCTCCAGGCCTGGGTTCTATGCTATTAAATCACTGTATCTGGAACACAGTAATTGCAAAATAAATATCTGTTGAATAAATTGCCCTTTGAGCTTGGGTAAGTTGCTGACTTCATCTGAAAAGTGAGAGTGTGGTATTATTATTGGTTCCCAAACCTGGCTCTGACCAACAGAGTCACTTGGGAAGGTTTTTAAAAGCACTGATTCAGTAGGATTGGGTGGGGCACATGAATCTGTATTTTTTGAAAGTTCCCTGAGTGCTGCTGATGCTGAACCAGGTTGGAAACCCCTGAACTCATTAAAATGGCCACTAAAATTCCTCCCTAAACAAAAGGCAAAGTATGACTGATGAGTCTAGGAGCTCGTGGGCTCCTGGAGATGACACTGAGACGCTGAGGAGGGAGAGCGCCAGGTGTTGAGTGCGCACAGGTCTGCTGCTTCTGCCTTCCTGTGCTTGCTTTGCTTTGAGGAGTTGTCCCTCGGGCCATGTGAGCAGGCAGAGATCTCTGGGGAGAACGTGGCCCTGCCATCCCCTGAGAGAGCTGAAAGCAGCTAGCCTAGATTCCCGCAGGCCAAGTGGAAACATGTCATTTTCAAATGGAGAAGTTGTATTACTACTAAATTTTCCCTGTAATAAGCAGAGATAAATGTAGGAACTTTTGAAAGCCACATTAACTCTTTCAGCCACAGGCTATCATCTAGTGCAATGAAGTAGCTGTTAAGCTTTGTAATGAATTATTGCCTTGTTGCACTCCCTGGCATTCTGTGGCCTGAAAAAGTTAATGAATTTTTCAGAAATATCAGGATACATCCCCCTGTGAAAGTGAAATGGAATATTTGATGGCTGACATTTTTAAGAGCATTACATAGAGAAAAGTGCTTCTACAAGCAGACAGACATGCTCTTTTCAGTAATTCTGGCTCTACTGTTACCTCGTTGTAGCAGAATTTTTTTAAAGCATTAAATGAAATGATCATAAATATTTAATAAGCATAAATGTTTTAATAAGTGTTATGTCTGTTACAAATAATAAGCATTATTTATCATTATTTTTAATAGAATTAATAGACACAAGTCATGAAGTAAAATTGAAATTAAAGTCTTCCTCTAAACCTTAAATGGTAATAAGCCAGTGCCTTAAAGTAATTATTTGAAAATTTTAAACCATTCTTTTCTCTAACATACATTCTCCTTATCTAAAATGAAATTTTAAGTAATATCCAGCTAAAGTTATATAGATTTTTTTAAATTAAAAACAGTTAATACACACATAATAAAATGAGCAGAACATAAAGCCTGTCTTTAGTAACCGGGTCTTGGCTGCATGAAACTTTTCCATTATACAAAAAGAAGCTATTAAATTAAAAAATCTACATATAAATATTGATGTCTCACCTTGAAAATGTATAAGTGTAATTTTCCTAAATTAGATTACAAACAGAAGGGTTGGGATTAAATCCTACCTCTGCCACTTCTTGGGCAACTTATTTAGCTCCTGTGGGCCTCAGTTTGCTTAGCAATAAAATGGAACAAACTATTCTGCCCATCTACCTCACAAGATTGTCCTGAAGATCAAGTGAGATCATGCATGGCAGCCCTTTATAAGATGCAAAATCCACTGAGAATGCTTAGAAGTTGTTTTGCATGTTGCAGTAGGCTCTCATTGATACACAGGGTCTGAAGAACATATTTCTTTGTTGCAGACAAGCAGAATGATGTGGAGATTCCATCTCCCACCCAGAAAGACAGAGAGAAAAAGAAAAAGCAACAGCTCATGACACAGATAAGCGGAGTGAAGAAACTGATGCATAGTTCAAGCTTAAACAATACAAGCATCTCACGCTTTGGAGTCAACACAGAAAATGAAGATAACCTGGCCAAGGTGAGTATGTGCTGGGTGGGGAGGGGTGTGTGTGTAGCTCTCTGTTTCACAACAGGCAGATGCCTAAAACTATCTACTAGGAAATAGTAGGGATCACCTTTGCTTTATTATTAAATTATACGTTAAGGAGGCTGTTGTGGCCTCTTTGTCCATTGATGGGCACCTAACTAAATACCCTTTTTCTATACAAAATGCCATTTGTTCACCCTAAATTGGATTTGTAAGTAGATAGTTCCTCATGAATGAGAATCCTAATGAAGGCGCACTGGAAGAATCCAAGGGGAGGCCAGTGGGCAGGATTGAATTATCCCAGAGGACATTTAGAGAACTGTATGCCAAGGACCAATGGGAAGATCAGAGCCGATTGGCAGAGCTGGAGAGGAAATGAGAGAAACTGATAGCACTGACTCTTGAACCCAAACCCCAGTAGTGAGGAAGGCACAGAAATTGTTCATACATATTCTGGATGACTGCACAAGCTGATTCCTGAGGGTCTCTCAGCCTTGTGATAATGAAATGAGCTTACTGTGAGCAAAAGGACATTCAGTGAGGCCTTCTGAAAGATAGCATTAGAGAAAGGTCACATCACACACTACACTACATCCTCACTCCAGACAATAAATAAGAATGGAATAAGTTGTTCCTTTAATCAGATAATCTTAGAATAATCTCACCACACAGGACTGAATGATGTTTCTTCCAGGTTAATCTGTGGCCTAGGAGCTGTACATAGGATATAATACATGACTGGCATTCTTCATTAAATTAGGATTGATTTATGTACATTCTAGTAGCTGAGTCTTTCTGACCTGGCCCTTACTGATAATGACCAAAGAACAGAAGAGTTTTCTAGCTGTAATCACTTGCATTTACCTCTGAACACGGCATTGGTTGAAGACTGCAGAGGCAAATATAGGTCAGCAACTAAATTTATAAATGAAATATACCAAAACCCATAACTAGAATGAAGAGGACACGCAACCTCCTCCTAGGTCATTCCGTTTTAATTTTTTCATGCAACTAGAATACTCTAAAGAGACATTTGAAAGACTTAGCCAGCTATTATCCAAAAAGTAAATAAAAATAATGAGGTATGCTTAAAAAAATATCTGTCCTTATTCCTAAATTCCTCTAATTTTGATTACAGGAGCTGGAAGACCTGAACAAATGGGGCCTTAATATCTTCAATGTGGCTGGATATTCACACAATAGGCCCCTAACATGCATCATGTATGCCATATTCCAGGTGAGTCAACTGTAAAGAATGTTGATTATTCATTCCATTGGATGACTCTGATTTTTTTTTTCTATCCCAGTTTACTTTTCTGATTTGACTTTTTCATTTTTTGGACATCCACTTATTTATTTTCTAATCCATTTTACGACATAGGAAAGAGACCTCCTAAAGACATTCAAAATCTCCTCTGATACGTTTGTAACCTACATGATGACTTTAGAAGACCATTACCATTCTGATGTGGCATATCATAACAGCCTACATGCTGCTGATGTAGCTCAGTCAACCCATGTTCTTCTTTCAACACCAGCATTAGATGTAAGTAGTTATGATCTCTTTTGCTTACCTGCCCATACCTTCCTTAAAAAGTGCCGTACAACATGCAATATCTGTGCAGAAATAATGTAATTAGATGATTGCATATTCTTGAACTGGTTCTTGATTATGTATAGCATCTATCAATTGAGCTACTAATATCAGAGTAACCGTCCCTTTACATCTCTTATAATTGAAAAATTATTTAATTATCAAGCAATTAACAGGATGCTTTATTTTTCATCATATCTCTTGTATCTAATATGTGTCTAGTTCAGTGACTGATATATAGTATATCCTCCATAGACATGTACTGATTTGAACTGCCCACACCATCCCAGGCATTATGGGGGATAGCATAAAAACATAACATAAAATTCCCCAACTAGTTCCTGTTAGAGTAAGCATCCATAGGCTTATTTTCCCAAAATTTCATGAAACTGATTCTATGGGCTGAAGAAAAGTTACTGAAAACCTAGAGCTGAGAATTGCTAGACATCTTGCTAAAAAATGACTGAGACTCCTTTGCCAACAGATTAATGCATTTGCATATACTGAAATTAGCAGTAGTGGGCCCAGCAGACCAAATTCTTCCTTGACAGATAGCAGTGGGAGTCAGGTGCTTCCAAAATGGGCAGGATCACTGCAAAAAGGGACTGGCCAACTTTTATCCAACCCTACCTTTGCAGGTTTCTTTTGGAAGGTGAAGAAAGATTAAACAGACCCCAACTCTATTGCTCAGGTTCCATATTTCCTAAGAAAAGAGATGTAAGAAGACTTGGGAAAGTGAGATGGAGCTAAGGCTAGTCTATGTCCCTGAAGAAAATGATCTGTATAAGTATCAGAGTAGACCCATACTGCTTATCCACTTTCCACTATTGCTGGTAGACTTACTGTGTGGCCAGAAGTTCTCCGTGAGTGCTGCAGATGCTTCAAGAAGGAGGGCTTCAATGTGTCCTTGAATAATTAGATTGGTCTTCATGGGAGAGGTGGAAACTGAGCTGGCGCTTGAAGGCTCAGAAGATTAAAATAATCACAGAGGATAAGGAAAGACATTTCAGCCAGAGAAAGACAGTTTAGCAGGGTACACTTAAGTAAACCCTAGGTTTATATCCTTGCGTATCAGTGGAGGCAGAGGAGGCTTCATGGCATGGCATGAAGGAGCTGCGCAGCAGGACATTAGGTTTCACTTCTTAGAAATGTTCTCAAATCCTACCCGTAGCAGGCAGTTTGTGGATAGGTACTGAATGAATATGTGAAATCTTCTGACTACACTACACATTTAGCTTTGGGAAATAATTTACTGCCAGTCTTATGAATTTGGAATTTTGAATTTGTCCTCTGTTTTCTAAGTTATGCAGCCTGAAAACATATGAAGTTTGTTATATCTCATAGCACAGCCAGTCTGACTCACTTCTTTGACTTGTGTGTGCTGGGGTTCTAGAAGCACCATTCTGCTATACCACTTAGCGAAAAAACAAACATCAGGTACCATCTGATCACTCACCATGAGCATTGCCTTCCTGAGCTTCAGCCTGTAGGCCTGATGAGGGCATGGGCTCCGGCCATCATTCCTCTCATGTGAGACCTTATGAGGATGGATAGAATTTGCATTTAATTAAGTTAGTATATGACACATTATAAAAATCAACAAAACGGTCCTTCTCCCAACAAGAATGAAGTGGGGTACTTTAACACAAAACTGAATAAGCAGGATAGGCAAATGGGACCTGGATTTAAATGTGCTCATTTTGCTCCGCAGGCCGTCTTCACAGATTTGGAAATCTTGGCTGCCATTTTTGCAGCTGCTATCCATGACGTTGATCATCCTGGGGTATCCAACCAGTTTCTCATCAACACAAGTGAGTTCATGATTAGGACAGTCATTCAAATAATTGCATGAGTCACTGCTTAATTTTTTTCCTCCTAATGTTTCATGATGGAGAATAATAAGAGTAATAATGAGGTAATCCTTCCATTCCACTCAAACTGGTCAGACCTTTCCTGGATACTGTGTCCAATTTGGCAATATCATTTTTGAGCCGCAGGGAAAACTTGCAAGGGGTCAGAAGGGAGTCATAAAAAGTACTCAATGTTTGGAAAATACAATATGTGAGGAAAGAATAACAGATGTGGAATTATCCAGTAAGCACAAGGAAAGTCTTGGGAATAATGTGATAATGATTTTCAGTATTATGCAGGGCTCTCATGCAGAGCATGATGACCCACTAATGTCCCTCTCTACTGAGGAACCAGCCCCAAATGTTGGATTTGAGCAAGGGAACCTCCAGACAAAATTAGATTCTGAGAAAAGCACTGCAATGGGTTTCCACAATTCAGGAGGAAGGGTCATTAAAAGACCCACATAATCCCTTCCAATTGCATAGGTATGATTGTGGATTAGTCTGTGGTAGGGAAGATGACTTCAATGAACTTCACAGCTGGTCCAGCCTTAAGATCCCAAGCTGTACTTAAAGTTTTTGTCATGCTCAAAATATTTAGGATTCATGCTAGTGAAACTATGAATTCTCTCAGTTTATGCACTATTTTGAAATTCTGGAAACCTAAGTACTTTTTCTTGTGAGAATATTGCTCTCTTGTTGTCATGATTAATATTAAGTGCTGACAGTTTTATAGAAATATTTGAGCTACTTGTTGTAGAAAAGCCCTTGCCATACTTTATCATCAGAATATCTGAGTGATGTAGGTATGTTGTACTTTGTTTTTGTGTTGTTGTTGTTGTTTACCTCATTCTTCTCCTGAAAGAACGTACACTTAACTATTTGTATGTGTGGGTTCTATCAGCTGACACACTGTGGTATCATGAAACAATTCATGTAGAGGCCAGTTATCTTTACACACAAAAAAATGGTCTTTCCATTATAGCCACCTACAATACTACAACACATAAAGGCATTTTGCAGATCTGTAACCTTGATCACAGGGTGAGTGGAGCCAAAGTGCTGAAATGGCTTCATATATCCCACTACCTTTACTGAAGATGTAACTCAAAACACACAGTTAACGCAATGGTATATGAATAATGACACCTGCAGTTGGTGACATAGTACCATCACTTGGCTATTTTTCTTAATTAAGAGAAAATATGACTTCATGAATTTGATGGCCATAATCTCATTTGCAGACCAGAGCTCTGCTTAATGAAAGATGTCTGATTCTTCCGTTTGAAAGGCAGGCTGGAAGCTGTAGTTCGCATATCCAGATATTGCAATCTCTGATGTATAGAGCCAGATGGTAGGAAATTTGACAACAAGATTGTTCTAAAAAGTATTAATGTTTTGTTACCATACTTATAGAAAGCTCCATAAAGCTACATTATTTGAATAAAATGAAATTTTATACTTACACCCTTGTCTTCTTTGAAAATCCAAAACACAACTGACAGAGTTGGCAAGCATAAAAAAGAGTGAATATACATAGTTTGAAAATCCTATGTATGAAAATCCTAATACATTTGATGAAGTTTACTGGCATTTACAGTTTATTCTTTTCCAAAGAACAAAATATGTAGAAACATAATGGAAATTACAATCTGAGATAAAAATAGGATTTAGCAGCTTGGGAATGCTTTTACCTAATGTCAAATTCTTTCTAAAGTGAAGTAGAAAGAGGATTTTAAAATACCATGAATTTTAATCAAAGAGAAAGCTTAAGCACTAATATCTACTAGAGGCTTTTTGCTTTTTTTTTTTTTTTTTTTTTTTGCTTAGAAACTGACTACATTCCTTTGTAGAGGGAGACTGTTTATCTAAGGAGAACTGACATGTGGATCTTGGTTTTTAAAACTCTTTGAATACAACTAGATCTGATTTCACATTAAGGTAACGTCAACCTTTGAATTGTACCCCTTTTTATTAAGTCATCATTTTTTCTTGCTTATTAGATTCAGAACTTGCTTTGATGTATAATGACGAATCTGTGTTGGAAAACCACCATCTGGCTGTGGGTTTCAAATTACTGCAAGAAGAGCACTGTGACATCTTTCAGAATCTCACCAAGAAGCAGCGTCAGACCCTCAGGAAAATGGTTATCGACATGGTAAGACTTCAGCCTCTCTACGTTACCATCACAGGAGGGGGAATCCCATCCTCTGCGACAAATTAAGCTCATTGAGTATTTTTGTTTTCTTTTTACACAAGGTGTTAGCAACTGACATGTCCAAACACATGAGCCTGCTGGCAGACCTGAAGACAATGGTAGAAACAAAGAAAGTTACAAGCTCAGGTGTTCTTCTGCTGGACAACTACACTGATCGCATACAGGTATTTGATAAAAGCCTTTGATTTAACAGAAAGCCAAACCAAACAACTAAAAAATGAAAACAAACTTCAGTTAGTTGGATACTAGGTTATTACTACAGCTTTGGGCTTATTTTAAGAACAAACCATACAAGCTAAGAAATAACTAAAGAAAACATTACAGCTCATTCTATAATTTATAAGAGAAAAACAACCCTATTTATTGAACTGCTTAGTTCTAAAAATAAATAGCAAGATGTATTTGTAATAGGGTGTACGTGACTGCTAGTCCCAAAAGCTCGTGTTTGGATATAAATCCCATTGACTTGCAGTTTGTTAAGTCTGTTTTGGTTATACAAATTGCCATCAGCTGGTCTCCTCTTTCCACAAGTGGAAAATATGAAGATATCTACTTTGAGTAGTAATTCTTTGCATTTTTTCCAAACTGAGGAAAGGAAATGGTGGCAGTATCTGACCTCTAATGTCCTTTCCAGTTTTTAAATTCAATGACCATCAGTTTAAGAAGACACAGATTTTCCCTTTTGGGACTCCTACAATGGTAAATAACCAATGCTGGCCAGCACCATTGTAATTCTGCTTTTTTGGTGCACACACTATAATTATAATATAACTAAAATGTTCTTGGGTTTGGTACCAAGTGTACTAGTACAAGAGGGATAAGATGTTCTCGTAGTATTTACACCTAATTTTATGGGATTTCCAAAACTTGGTGATTTCAGGTCCTTCGCAACATGGTACACTGTGCAGACCTGAGCAACCCCACTAAGTCGCTGGAATTGTATCGGCAATGGACAGACCGCATCATGGAGGAATTTTTCCAGCAGGGAGACAAAGAGCGGGAGAGGGGAATGGAGATTAGCCCAATGTGCGATAAGCATACAGCTTCTGTGGAAAAATCCCAGGTATCTACTGTCAGGTTTTCAAAGTTTTTGTAAACTGCTTGCTGTAGAACTGAGGGGTTCTACCTAGCTCTTTTCTTTTAACAGAAAATTTAATTTCTCATATATATGAAATTATAAGGAAGCAACTACCCACTGAGTTGCATTAAACTCATGATTCCTTATTTTCTTCATTACACTCGATTTTACAGGGTGAGATAAAGCAGTCATCAGAATCCATCCAAGTTTGAACTGTGTAGCCTTGAACAGTTTATACGGTTGTCTGTGATCTTAGCAAACCCTGCCAATTGAACTGAACACTGTGGCTTCCCCCGTCTCCTCCATCCAGATTTCTCCTAGCTCTGTCCTTATTCAGGATTTCTACTCTTCTTCCCTGTACCCTATTTGTGCTGTTTCTTCATAATCAAGCACACTGCTGCCATCACCAGAAGCAGTGAATCTCATTCCTACAAATCTCTTCTACCTCATCGTCCAAGCCCATCCTGTGTCCCCTTACCCAGGTTACATCTATGCTCTGAGAACATGCTGACATCTTCTGATTGTATCCAAAGCTACAAATTCCCTGTGGGCTGAGGACTGGGGACAATACCCTGGAGGCCAGGGGATATAGAAAGGCCCCAGTTACCTCTAGCTACAGAGAATGTGGCCATAGAACATGTCAACATCCCTACAAAGGCCTTAGGGCCAGCTGAAGTGTTATTTTATTCAGGGCAACAAATGGCCTGAGCCAGATGGGCATGATTGAGGATGAGTCCATAGGCTGTCCAAGGTCTTTATCACAAAAGGATTCAGAGCATTTTTTGTTCATGTTTTTCTTCTTTCCTCCCTACCTGCTACCCCCAAATTTATATATACTTGTAATATCTATATAGTTATTATTGTGTTGCGTCTTTAAAAAAATACCAATCACATGAATTTAAAATCTGTGAAAGTACTCTAAAAGTCTAATATTCTATAAAAAAATCAAGATAATATTAACTTAGGGACAATTCAAATATCCTAAAAGGGTGATTCTCAACCTTTTTAATTTCATGACATACATAAACTAATTACTAGAATTCTGCAGCACACCAAAAAATATATTTTTTGACTGTATGACATAAAAAAGAGGTGTGATTTTGATCCATTCACACCAGATGGCTATTGCTCTGTTGGCTGTTGTCATTTTTTATTTGACAATCTGAGGGAAAAGGGGTGAGCACCCCTGACTAAATACTCAGGTATCACATGTTTTAAAAGTTCTTGCAGCACACCAGTTGAAAATCATTGCCCTAAGGCCTTAATTAGAACAAGACAGTAATTAACTAATTAATTAATTGGAATAAGGCCCTTTTATTAACAACCATGATTTTTTAATATTTATATAGTATCATGCAGTTTTCCATACATTTTTCCACACATTATCCTATTTGAACCTCCATACAGCCTTGTGAGACAGACACAGCAAGTATTTCTCCAGCGTATCAGGTGAAGACGTTCTCCTCTTGGTCCCTTTCACCAGCTCTTTAGTTGCTCCACTGCCCTCCACCCAAAGCTGTTCACTCTTCATAACTGTGGACAGGTCTCCCTGGGGCCATGACACCATGTTCACTCTTGGTGTTTCCCACAGATGCACCCTGGTGGCCCTTGTCTAAGAAGTCTGGCAATAAAGCCCTTGATTAGATGCTCTTAGGATCTTTAGAGCTCTCTCACCCCAGAACCTAGGAAATAAGCAACCAGAGGCCACCTTTCCAAAAATACTGAGCATTCAGCAGAAGAAAAACAAATGAAGAAAGGAAATGACTGCATTGTGTTCAGCTGATTCAGTTTTCTCCATTGCCTTGAGCTTGTTTTGTTCAGGTCCCTGGAAAACACCTTGAATATAGTCTCTAAAGTCCATTAAACACAGATAAAGTAGAAAAGGAGTTGGGGGCGGGGAAGGAGTGGGTGGAAGCAAGAGAAATAACCTGAATCATCTTTAGCATAGTTCTTAAAACCAATGCCGATTAGAGATGCCCAGTTTTTTTGTGTGAATTCTGTTTGTTAAAGCTAGGGAGGTACCAGAGAAAAGATGATAGATAGATAGATAGATAGATAGATAAATGTAAAAGAATCACATATGACTAAGATTCTTTGATATGGTACAACTTTGATGTATTGAATGGCTGGAGAAAAAAACTAGAATGTTAACAAAGGGAAGTTTCCAGTAACGTGGAAAGGTAGCTAGTTACATAATATCCCATGGGTACCTATCAATTGGCCTTGCTCATCTCCCCCTGAATCCCAACCCAGATTCGCTCCGGCTCTTCAGACCATGACAGGGGAATTCCATTCTCTCATTCAACTGGTGCCTATTCTTTCTCTCAACCTGCCCCCACCCCCAGTGTTTCCTGTTTGTCCCACAATGAGGAGGTCAGAGTAAGGCCACAGAGCCAGCTCAGGCAGGATGCATAGGCCCTGTGTAAACCATTGCAGAGCCATAAGCCTCATATTTATTCACAGGCACACTAGCACAGGAACTGCTTAATTGTTTTCATTTTCCCTTCTTTTCTCCTGATGGAAATGACCATAGGTCTTGCAATTGCAGATGTATCCATGGAGGGGATTTTTGTTGGTTTAGGGGCTTGAGGTATTTTCAGATTCTGTTTTACCAAACTCATTTATAAACCAAAAAGCATTCCACAGAATGTGAGAAATTTCAGAGTAGTCAGGGGCTGGCTCCCCTTCATTTTGGAACAGTGACATATTTTCAAGTTATCAGGGAAAGAACGTTGAGTCAGAGCTCATTAGACCTGGGGCTTCCTTCTTCAGAACGTGATTCACAGGCTCCACGCAATGAGAAAGTCATTCTCAGCCAGGGTTACATCCAGACTTCTTATTTGGCACACAGAAAAGGAAGGTCGTCAGTTATAGTGGGACGTGAGATGAACACAGACAAAGCTGGGACTGAGTGCCAGCTTCACCGTTTACTGGCTCTGTGATCTCTGTCAAGATATTTAATCTCAGTGAGTCTTAGTTTCCTCCTTGTAAATAGTGGATAACAATACTAACTTTGCAGGATTAAGAGCACTAACTTATATATTGTATCCAGTGCAGGACATACCATATGGTATCTGCTCAAATAATGGACTCCATTATTACTGATCTCTCTTGGGTTGTTGTCGCTTTATTCGTGCATGCAAACTAGGACAGCTTGTTTGGTTTTCAGGGGTCAATCACAATAACTGGTATGTAACCTTATTTTTCTCCAGGTTGGCTTCATTGACTACATTGTCCACCCACTGTGGGAGACCTGGGCAGACCTGGTGCAGCCCGATGCCCAGGACATTCTGGATACATTAGAAGATAACAGGAACTGGTATCAGAGCATGATACCCCAGAGTCCCTCCCCACCGCTGGATGAGCAGAACAGAGACTGCCAGGGGCTGATGGAGAAATTTCAGTTTGAACTGACCCTTGAAGAGGAGGATTCTGAAGGACCTGAAAAAGAGGGAGAGGGCCACAGCTATTTCAGCAGCACAAAGACACTTTGTGTGATCGATCCAGAAAATAGGGATTCACTGGGAGAGGCTGTAGACATTGCCACAGAAGACAAGTCCCCAGTTGACACATAATCTCCCTGTCTGTGTGGAGATGAACATTCCACCCTTGACAAGCATGCCAGCTATATGGTAGGGCCAGCCCACCCCGGGGGCCAAGGCCTGCACAGGACAAGGGCCATGTGGCTTTTCCAGTTACTTGAGTTTGGAGCCAGAGTGCAAGACCGTGAAGCAAATAGCAGCTCAGGAAATTCCACGGTTGACTTGCCCTCCTTGCAAGCCTGGTGGAGAGCTGAAGCTTTATGTGGTACTGGAGGCCAAGTTCAGATCACAACTAATGGCTTGAAAAAAGAAGACACAAAACTGAGAGATTTTTCTGCACTAAGCTTTGGGAATCTGTCCCCTCTAGTGACTGAACTAATACGTTCATTTATAAATCTGCTCACCTGTCCTTTTGTCTGCCAACCTGTGTGCCTTTTTTTGTAAAACATTTTCACGTCTTTAAAAATGCCTGATGAATACCTAGAGTGTAGTAGTATCAACTTCTACACAGACAAGCATTCAAAGCTGACACAAACTTTTTTGACTCTTTCTGAAAAAAAAAAAAAAAAGGAAAGAAAACGGTCTTCCTTCTTTCTTGGGCAATATCTTTCACTTTACTACAGTTACTTTTGCAAATAGAAAGGATACACTTCTAACCACATTCTACTTCCTTCCCCTGTTATCCCTTCCACCTCCACAGTTGCCCTTACAACTTAATTCTGTTTGCCTGCTTTGAACAGTATTTTTTCTCCTCTGGAGTTTTACATTTTTGCTCTCAACAGAATAAAGTTGAACAAACGAAGGGATAGGAAGAGGTAGTTGTGTTGTTCACAGTTACAGTCTGTGTAAAATTCAACCGAATAAGGCAGCGTATCCTGTCATGTCCCGAACCCAGCGCCACTGGGAGTCACCGGCCTGCCCTGTCCGCTCCCTCCTCTCTTCACGCTCACACCCAATTATGCCATTTTCAATTCAGTGCTGCCACCTCTCTCTTGCACTGCCTTCCCGCTAACACCTCCATTTCTGTTTATAACTGTGTATTTATTACTTAATGTATATAATGTAATGTTTTGTAAGTTATTAATTTATATATCTAACATTGCCTGCCAATGGTGGTGTTAAATTTGTGTAGAAAACTCTGCCTAAGAGTTGCAACTTTTCTTGTAACGTTTTGTATTGTGTATTATATAACCTGAACATCGCTGAGAGAGACATAGGGCCCCGTCGCTTTGAGGACATCAGTGGGCTTTTACTCAGAGGGTCTTCCCTTTTACCTGTCTGAATTGCTAATATTGTGTAACCCCTTTACAAACCAGTTTTGGAAACAGGATTCTCACATTCGATACGAAATGGTTTATACTGAGCTTTTACTTTTGTATAGTTTCATAGGGATAGGGGGCAACAGGATGTGGTTTTCACCCCTGTTCTATCCAACTCCGTGTACGCATGAGTTGGGTAATAACTGGGTTCTACTATAATCATGGCTTTGGTTTAAAAAGCAACACTACATTTGCGCGCAGATGGTTCTTCTGAATGTTACCAAACTACTGACTTTGCAAAGAAAGCCTCCTGCCTGCCATTAAACAGGAATGTTATGTTCCAATTAATTACAAAAAAGAAAACAATAAAACAATGTGAATTTTATAATAAAATGTGAACTGATGTAGTAAATTATGCAAATGTGAAGCTTCTGATAACACTTGTTAAGTCTCTCATTGGCTTCAGTCTCAGTTTGTAAAATATATTTCATGTGTTCAGTTCAGCATTGTGACTCATAGTTAAAGAAATGGCACAGATGTGCATGACCAATGGGTTTGTATGTCTATGAACACTGCATTATTTCAGGTGGACATTTTATTGTTTTCAAAAGTTTCTCACAATGTATGTTATAGCACTATTATTATTATTATCTATTGTGTTCAAATGCATTCTTACGAGACTTTTCTATGAGGTGAATAAACAAAAGCATGATTAGATTAGACTGTAGGTCCAATTATTTCGGGTCAGTTCTGACATATCAAAAGCAGATCTTTTTTCTTTTCTCTCCTACCACACCCCACAAAAGAAAACCAACCACTTTGCCTGACCAACATCACAACTGAATTTTCAGAATCTGTTTCCAAAAAGTCCCTTAGCTTGGAACATTACACATTTTTTAGCAACTGTTGGCTCAACTCAGTGGTACAAGAAGGGAGTTGGTAAAAGAAAACAAAACCACCTTATGAATCTGAAGAGTTTAATCTACCAGATAAACAAAGATAATCTGCAGCTTGGCTGGATCCTCTAGGAAAAAGAATAATAGAATCAATCACAGCACATTAGCTTAATGTAGTCAGATGGTCCCATCAATCACTTGACACATGAAGACTGAGGTGCCAAGAGTCCTCTTCAAGCATACGCCACAGAGCACTGGCAGACACTCCTGGCTTTCTCGATGACCCATGGTGGCTCCTGTTGATCACATGACTAAGCTTTTCTTTCTGCAAAGATCTGTGCAAATCTCACAAGCAAAATACTTAAATCCTTTCTTGAAATCTTTAAGTCAGCTTTAAAAATTTTATCCTGAGGTGTGTGCATGTGTGTGCATGTGTGTGCACATGTGAGTGTGGTAAGGAAGGTTGCAAAAAAGGATCAGTGGATGGCCCATGACATTTTAACCACAGGGCAGTAGTCTGAACCAGTAAGAGGGTCTGCAACAGAAGAACTCACTCAATAAACTAAAATTACAGTATTTCTTTATAAAGACCATTGGCGATGAGCCAACATTACACAACCAGCTTGCCTGTTGGTGGCAGAATTAATGTTCATAGCATCTCACCAACGATCCCTGATTTCTGATTGCACCCCATCATCTCTGAGCTTTTGGATTGGTTAGAATAGCCACAGGTGTGGTTTTTAAGATGTCTACACTGCAGCTATAAATATACATAAATGTTCGCAGGTATGTTTCTACAGAGAAGTGATTCTCAACTCGCTGCAAAATGAGAATCACCTGGGGAATAAATTTTCTTTTTTAAATATGGATATTTGGGCCCTGTCCTCACTTCAGATTTGTTTGAATTGATCTTGGGTAGGGTCTTGGGTAGCAGATTTTTTAAATTCTCCCAAGATAATCTAATGTATGTGATTGTGAGAAGAGAATTACTGTTCCAGAAGAAACATGCTTGCAGCTAAGGCTTTTGTTTTAGTCCATTCAAGCTTCCGTAACAAAATATCACACACTAGATAACTTAAAAACAGCAGAAATTTATTTTCCACAGTTCTAGAGGCCAGGAAGTTCAAGATTAAGGCATCAACACACTCACATTCTGATGAACGCCCCCTTTCTCGTTGCTAGCCAGTGACTCTTTGCTGTATCCTCCGACAGTAGAAGGGACTAGAGTTTTATCTGGGATCTCTAAGGGCTCTGCCCTAATGACTTCAGCACCTCCCACAGATCCCACCTCCTAATATCATCTTTGGGGGTTAGGACTTCAACATGAATTTTGGTGGGGGGCACAAACATTCATACCAAGGCCATTTTCTTCCATTGCAACGGTACGCAGACAGTGTGCACTTACCATGGCCAGACACCGGCTCCAATACAGAGATGACAGCAGGCATCAGAGATGAATAAGACAGAACCCTCCACCGCAGAGGCTTGTAATCTGCTATTGGTGCTCACCACTTGCTTTCCAGAATACTAAACCATAATTATGTACTCAAGAAAACCACAATGAAGAGAGTTAATCGCCTGGTTCCAGAACATAGGCCATAAGCGTAACCATCTGCCACTTGTGACAGCATGTCAGTGTTTCTGATGGCAGGGAGTGACTGCGAGGCAGAAGTTTCTATGGCATTTTTGCCAAGCCTAAGGGTGACGGCTTTGTACTTAACAAAATACATAGGAGCCTAAGGCTGCTTTATAGACTCTGGAACTGTCAGAGTTGAAAAACACACATGCATGTGTGAACACATGTACACACATGTGACATATTCCCACAAGCTTATTTTGACATAATTAAGTTGGGGGGCAGCCATAGTAATTCTGAGTCCACTGAAAAAAGCCTAATAGCGTCCAAGTGAAAGAATGTGGTTTATCACATGGGGTCTGTTGCCATGTGGCCTAGGTTTAAATCCTAACTCCTCCATTTACCAACCACCCAACTTTGAACAAGTCACCGACTCCCTGGGCTTCAGTAAAATGAGGACTATAAATTTGTCAAATGGTATACTATAAATAAACTCAGACCTTTTCCCACCATTCCACTGCTACCTCTCTGAGCCCCATGTCTTATTTACTGTTGAAATTGCTATCATATCAGCCTTAAAACCTGTGATCCAAGATGGGGTAGGATGGCTGGCAAATCCCATTTATAAGCCCATGCTTTCTGCATTCTGTATCCCTTACCAAGAATTCTCCAACCTGGTTACCTCCACATCACTCAAGACTCAGATCAGGTGTCCCCCCACCCCGACCAAGAGGAAGCTTTCCTGATCCCCAAGGTTGAGATAAGGACTCTTCCTTAAACTCCCAGAATAGCCTATGCTTTGCTACTAATTAGCTGTGTAACCTTGGGTGTGTCACTTAACTTCCCATAACTCTGTTTTATTATCTGTAAATTGTAGAATATTACAGTAATACCTACTTTATAGAGGGTTTATGAGAATTACATGAATTGATATATAAAGGTCTAAGAAATACAGGCGTTGACAAATGTAGGTTTACAATTGTTCATATGGAAAAAAGGCATGCAGGTTATGATTATAATAACACAAGAATGAACTCTGTGTTTCACATACTCACAACTGTAAAACTTCTTTTGCCCACCTCTGTGTTTTGATTACTAACTCCTACGACTATACGTTTAAGTTAGGCTTTTGTCTCTTTCAAAAGACTATAGTCTGTTGACATCAGAAGCCAAATCTTATTCCCCATTGAAATTCCAGTGCCCAATCCAATACCTGAATTGTCAAACTGATGTGAACCAAGGGGTTTTGTGCAAGGGTAAAATGCAACCTTATGTTTAGGCTCTCAAACCTAAAAAGATGTTGGTCTCCGAACCATGGAATAATAAAGCCATGCAATTTTAGAACAAAGATTCCTCAGAGATCATCCGGTTCATCCCTTTCTTTTTATAAATATAGAAACTGATGCCCAGAGATGACCAGTGACCTGACCCTAAATATGATCCCTTCCGTAGGTTCCTCAAGAAATCTGCCTGCCTCAAGCATTCTGTGTCTTTATAGAATTTCATTGGAACTACAGGAGGGTCTCGGGAGGTCATATTCAACAGCAGGCTGCTTTCTGCCACCACACAGGTGCCTCATTCCCTTTCTCCTTTTCACTCTATCCTTCACCTCATTGAACTTCCTTCTCAGAAAAAAACATCAGTTATTTTTCCTGGCGTTTGCCCCACAGATAGCATTTGGGTTTTTTGGTAGTGGCCCATGATTCGGGTGAATCTCACTTCATAAACCAAAGAGCTTTTCAACAGCTACGTGGTGCAAATACAAATGTATACATTCAGGTATCAGAACTTTTTCCATCTTGCTATATCTTCCCCAGTGAAAACGGGAAGCTCATTCACAAACTTTCTGAGAGGTGAGTGAGAAGACTAACTTCCAACGCTTCCTTGTGGCACTCAAGCCACCCCCACCTCATGGCCCAGCCCTGCCTGTGCCCTTTGGCACGTTTGCGCTGATGCTCCAGTGAGGCCCCCTGGCTCTGGGGAGCAGCTGGAACTTGGACTTTTGAGCAGAGTGATATTACCAGACACTCCTGTTCTTTTTCTTTAAAAAAACTTCCCCTCAAATTTTACCTCATTTCTAAAAAAGGCAAAATTCTTCTCCACGTCTTTGGTAGAGGACTTCTACCAGGCTCTATGTTGCCTGAGAACGCCCTTTAGATCTCTTACTTCCGCCCAAGCAGCTCTCACGTCTCTCGTCTCTCCGCATTTCAGAGCTCCGAGAGCAAGCCGTGAAGTGAGCCTGAGTGGAAACACACAAAAGTGCTACTCTTTGGCTCTGTCTTCAGTTCCTGCGTGCTTCTCACTGTGTTTGCTGAGTGGGATTTTAAAGGTATGTTTTTATTTCAAAGTGCAGGCCCTCAAAGCAAGGCAATTATGTTGTCTGGTGCTTTGGTAAAAATAAAAACAAACAAAATGTGGTCTGTTACCCTACTGGAGGATAATAAAACTGGTCGTTTGGATGCTTTGACTTAAAATGTCATGTCCAATATAGCTCTTTTCAACAGTAATTTGATTTATATTCTATTTTTATCTTTATCATTGACTTCTAACCTAATGTCCAAGTAATATGTTACTCCACAGTTTCTCTAGTTTCCTACATGGAAATCTCACGAAGAGTCATGCCAGAACATTCACATGAAATCAAGCAACTTTAACCTCTGTGGGGGCAGAGGTCATGTGTGGTGCTCTACCCTGTTTCCACAATGCCTAGAATCGTGCCTGGCTCAGAGACTATGCTCAAACATTTTTTGTTTTTTGTTTTTTAATGAATCTGGGTGTTGATGACAGTACAACCCTAGTTATTAGGAAGATAAGAAGAATATATATTGCAGCAAGGGAACTCAGTTTCTCTCACTAGATTGCAATGATCTGTTTTCAGATCTGTCTCCCCACTCAACTCTGAGCCCCTCCAAGATAGAACAATGTATTCTCTTTTGTTTCTTTCTAAATCTTTCTGTCCCTTGTAAACACTCTGGTGGCCCTAAGTGAAAGGAGTGCCCTGTCAAGTTTTGTTGAGCTAATGACCCAATACATGAGGTAGAAAATCCTGTTATTGAAATCACTTGTGAAATATACCTGTCTAATTGATTTCCTTGGGAAAGGAGTACGGTATGCTGGGGAAAGCAAGATCTGACAAACCTGTGTTCTAGGCCTTGCTCTGTTTTTTTCCTAGTTGTGGGAATTTGGGCAAATCAATTTCCTGAGCCTAAATGTTCTCATAATTAAATGGAGTGAACAGCAAAAGATGGCATCAGGTATAGTGTTACATATAGAAGGTGCTCAGTAAATCTTCACTGTCTGGATGTATGTTTTCATGGATGGAA